AAAATATGTAATTTTGAATTTCATATAAAGTAAAAGGTATGCTTATTCAAATTTATTTTTAAAATAAAAGTTATGATAAACATTTATTTATTCTCTTTCAAATATATTAATAAAATAAAAATATAAATCTAAAAAATTTTGAAACAACCAAAAAATCGGATTGATTGGCATAAAAAAAGGAAGTGAAATCGGATTTGAATGCTAAAATCGGAACACCTTACCAAATTGAATGATAAAAGATTCGATTTGATTGGTTACCTAATTGTATGGGCTGAAAAAAATCAAAAAAAAATTTTACGAATTGAAGAAGCGGGAAAAACACTATATTCAAGCGGGAAAACAAAATGATTATTTTCGGATTGTTCAAATAATTTTTCTTCTCCGTATTATATAGTAATAGATAATATTTGAATGAATTCAAAAATAACATCTAAGAATTATTTCTCACAAATGTTTAATATAAATATCATAATATAAATATTTAAATAGTAAATCGAATATACTAAAAAGTAAAAATGAATAATGAATATAACGAGGTAAGTTATAGTTTAATTTTAAGCATATGAATTTTAATTATTATTTTTTATTTAACTTCAACTTAATTCTAACTACTAGTTATGAACTTGTTATTTTTTATTTAAATGTCAAATATCAAAAAATAAAATGATATAATATAAATGGACGGATAAATATTGCACTATTCAACTTAGGATTTTGATTTTTCAAACCTTTAATTTGAGATCATTATCAAATTTTTAGTTTTTAATTGTCATTTGAAAATATGTCTGAACCCTAAGATATACGAGTTTTTGAATATTTTATTACTTATATGTTGTTGCAGAAATATAGTGCAACGCAGCGTGAAATAGCGCAAAATAGCGTAAAAAAGTGTGCTATTTCAACATTTCGTGTAAACTTTTTGAGAAAAACGCTAAATTATAAGGCTACGTCGCGTTTTTTTAAAAAAAAAGTGCTATAGTGAGCTGTGAGCTATTTAAAACATTGGTTCATATTAAGTGCATAGTGCTGAATGCATATTTACTTCATAAATAATGCATACTAAGGTTAACAGGTCAACGTCAAAAGTCAACGAGTCTCGCCGAAAGTCAACTCCAAAAGTCAAGGGTCAATATTATTTAAATAAAGAGTTAAATCTTGTTCACACATCTTGATACTTATCTAATGACTATGATTGAGTCTCACATACTCATTTTGAAAATGTGTCATCATTGGAACCTCCTTAGGGCATCCACATCCATTAATTTTTGAAAAATGCTACATGTACATAATAAATGTACATAGAGGAGTACATAACACATGGAGTGGGGTCCATTTGATTTTTTTGATTTTTGGTAGGTCTCACTCAATGTGAGTGTTATGTATACCTTTATGTACAATATCATGTACATGTAGCATTACCCTTAATTTTTTTCCCATTCATTCAATCAAAAAGTTACACTTTCTCTCATCTACATCATCTCCACATCACCTTGTCACTAATTCTCTTTCTATTTAAACATACATTCACATCTTTACACATTCATTTAAATACAAATATGGGACCCATTATATCTATTCATTCAATTAAAAAAGGAACCAAAGTGCATTAAAAATTAAAGAAAAACATAATTAAAAAAAAAAAGCACAAAAGTGCCGTTCAATTGTGTGAACGGATCAGTTGGGGCCCACCACTAAATTAATGGCCACAATGGATTGAACGGAATTTGGCCATTTAAACGGGACAAATTAATACCCCGTTGCGGATGGCCCTTATATATATACATATATACATATATTATTTTCTTAGAATATATTTTTATATTAAAAAAATTATATACTATCTTTATGTGGTGAATATTTATAATTAAATATAATATTATGAAAACTTACAAATATTAAGTATATATTACATATTTTCATTATTTTTATGTATATTTATAAATTAAAAATAGTACATATAATTTTAAGATTATTAAATTGTTTCTTTATAATTATCCGATGACGTGTCGTGGGTTCAAATTTGAAAACATTTTGTGCACGCGGTGCGTAGATAATAAGATTTGAAATTGCGGACAGGTTAAAACGACGGCGTCAAGGTATCAGCATCCTATTATTAAATTAATGTAAATAAAAACGGGACGATGTAAAGGGAAATTGCGATTGTAAAAATCTCTTATATATTTATATTAATATATTCGTTTTAATAAGCCTTTCTCCTATACAAAACCCTAATTTCTTCCTCTGTTTTACAATAACTTGAAAATTATTCGGGGCCCTTTTTCAGATCTTTTATCCCGTCTTTGCCGCAGTAATTTTCTTAAATTAAAGGTTGGATGCCTCTGATTTTCTCTAATTTTTTTGTTGTGTTTCTGTTACTTTTTGAATTTTGGGTCGAAATGGGTTAAATGATGGGTTTTCTAAAACTATTTTTGTTTTTTTGATGCTTAAATTGAATATTTTTGGGTGTTTTTGCTGGATCTGTTTGTAAAACACAGAAAATATATTTTTTTCCCTTAAACTATTTTACAACTGTGTAGTTTGTACTGTCTCTATCTTGTATTTCTAACTTGAATTTTAATTCGCGTAATATTTTATTTTAATTTTTAACATTCCTCTTCTTTTTAACCTTTCTTTATTCTTCTCGTTTTCTGTTTTTTTTTCTTCGCTCTGATCACTTACTGGTTTGCTCGTGTTTAATCTGAGATGAATCGAACAACTGTTTCAATTTGCGTCACACTAATTTTAGGGTTTGAGATTTCATTTGAAGTAACATTAGCTACTGCGAAGTGTGAAGATCTAACGTAATTTTTCAGCAATCTTCAGGGGCAATTTCGGTAGTTCACGAATGTCCGGTGCATCTGAATCAGCGGCGGCCATGGCTAACCGCGACATTTTCGGCGTATCTCCGACCGCCCTTCAGAATCCGGCAACAACTGTAAACGCGGACGCTTCTCAGCCTCAGATGGAACATCACATGGCAATTTCCTACAATTCGGACAACGGTGTACCGCAAGTGGGGCCGCCGCCGCATTACCAACCTATCCTCGCCGGCGCCACCGCGACCTATCACCAGGTGAACATGAATTCCGGGGAGCAGAAACGGAAGAGGGGGCGGCCGAAGAGGTATGGCCCCGACGGAGGTATGTCTGTCTCCACAGCTCCGCCACAACAGCAGCAGCAGACTTTCTCCCCGCTGCCGCCGGCGGCGGAGGTGCCTCCTCGGGCGGAGATCCCTCCATCCGGCTTGGCCTCACCCACCGTCAAGAAGGCCAGGGGCAGACCTCGTGGTTCGCAAAATAAAAAGAGGAAAAGTGATTTCACGGAAGCTTCAGGTAAATCGAGATTGGAGTCTATTTAAAGGTTTTTTCAATTGGGATGATGCCATAGGTAACTGTTTTTTGATAGAAAGATTCGCTGACCAAAGCATGTGCTAGCATCATTTCCTGTCATTGAGTGTATATAAACATATAATAATGCAGTTTATTTGGTTTTTTGAGCAATTTGTTATTAAAATATTATTGATGACAATATTCATCCCAAGTTTGTTATTTTATATTTTGTTCTGGTTTTGGTTCAGGTTAGTTAATATAGGAAATAACTATAAATAAATCCGGGTGTTCAATTTTGGACCATAATTCCTGATCTACATTTTTATTCCATTGTATAGAGTATGACATTTACTTGTTGTAGTATCTATGTGTGTTATGCATACATCTAAGTACTAGATTTTCTTTTTCATTGTAGAGAATAAAGCCACAAATGAATTTGAGGCATTATATTACTGGGGATGAGTGTCTAGGCAATGGAATGCATATATAGCATCTTTCGATTCTGGATGTGGTGGATCCAATTTGACAAACTCTAAGGATTAGAATGGCCTTTTGTGTTCAGCTCCCTAAGTTTCTGCTTCTTGTGATTCAAAATTTTATGAGTAATTTCCTAGTATTATGTTACAAAATGGCTCAATAGATATACATCATTGATTTCTTTAGAACAATTTAATTTTCATTGTTTTTAAACTGTGCTTGGTCAAGATTGTAAGTTTTACGTTATTGTATGTGTCTTGCAATCTGTGAACATTCATTTATAACTGTCTTGTTTTGTTAAGTTGAACTTTATATTTGGTTAGTTTTCTAATTACATTTTGGCTGAAAAAAGTTATTAGTACTTTGGCAGTCCTTCAGTTTTTGTTATAACTATAAACATCTGCTTTGAATTTATGCTTGCAGGTTCAGCTGGTATTGGATTGTTACCCCAAATAGTCAATGTGAATGCAGGAGAGGTTAAATATTTTACATTCTATTCATTTTTCTTTTAGTGAATGGAACTGCCTTTTTGTGTAGTGGATGGAACTGCTCACTATTTAGTTTTGAGCAGACAAATTTATGACTTTCTCATGCCCCTGAAACCTGAAAGTTATATTAGAACTAAGTGCTCCTTGTGAATATGTTAAGAAATGTTCTTCCTTGTATCCTACCCTGTTCCTTAAATTCCAATCTAGATTAAATCTAGGAATTTTAAATCCTTAAGAATCAATCATTGAGTTGTCTGTGAAACCTCAAAATATAATGATTGCAGAATTCTTTTGCTATCACTTTGACCTTTTCCTTTCATACGTGGGATTTATGTTTTATCTTATGTAGAACTCCTTAAAATCCTCCCCCATCTTTTTGTCCGGTCAAAATCCATCGAACATTTGGTTAAGGTTGTTCACCTGTTCACTCATTTACTTTTTATTTATTTGATTTTTGTGCGTAATAGTAGTGTAGTATGAATTTCCTTAATCATAGATTTATTAGGGGCAAGTAAATTATTGAATAACTAGTTACTAAATAAATAATAAACCTTTCAACTGAGATAATTGGTGCAAAATTTGATGGAATAAGCATCCTGCATAATAGAATAGCAGTAATAGTGACCTTAGAAAAAGGAACATTTTGCAAAATCTAGGGAGTGGAAGTTTGGCAACATGTTGGAATGTAGCATGGGATTATGACTATCGGAGTTCGTTGTTCAGACAATTTCATAGGACTCTGAGAATAAAAAAGAGGAATCTTAATCAACCAATTTGGAATTTCTTTGATTTGAGTCTTAAGAGGTTTAATTTCTGTTACAACTAACATGTTTCATCTAGTTGGTGCAAACATTCTTGACTTTTGTATAGATACATAATGAACCACATTACATTTCTACTCATTTTAACACATCCGTTAATAACACTACCTTTCTGTGTCATTGTTCTCCCCTTATGTTGAATTTGCTTTGTATAGAAGCACCAGTTCTTGGTTATATTAATTAATTATTGCGTGAAGACTTGTATAGAAGCACCAGTTCATTGGTTAAGCATGTGGATGGATTATGGCTTATAAGTTCCAAGTTTTTCCCTTGAAAGTATCTTTTTTGAGGGATAAATCTATAAAAGTCCACGCCATTGGCCTATAGTAGATAATACCTTTTGACCAGATGCAAGTTACCCCATGCCTCGTCATCGATGACATGTGCACATCTCACGATAGTTTTCTGGACATACAAGTCCACTCATATATCAGAGATAGAGACACCCGACATCAATTTAGCATGTTGTAAACTCTGCTTTTAAACTGTGGCAATAAATACATCGCACATCGACTTTATTATGGAAGTGCATTCTGGCTTATAAGCAAAGGCCATGGCCGTTTTTCCCAATATGAGTTTTGTCTCTTCTCGTGCAGCAAACTCTTTGGCGGATACAAGCTGTTCAATGCTGTGTTACTCTGCACCTTTTTTGGTTTCCCTCTATTAGATTCTATTTTAAAAGGAGTCTTAGCAGAGACTGACACCTTGCACCTTTGACATAGCCTTATCACCCCTTTTTAATTTGATGTGGCACATTTGAGTGTGTATGATTTTTACTTTTAACGATTGGAAAGCGAGTGTCTACACCATGCTTCATGTTATCATTGATTTTACTCTGTAATTGTTTGGATAAGAGTTTTTTGCTTGGCATAGATCTTGATGTCCATGGTTTTTGATACTCCATGAATGTGAGTGGCATGTACTTAATTTGTTATCAATTTGATATCCACTTTCTTTTCAGGACATCTCTTCGAAAATATTAGCTGTTTCGCAAAATGGCCCCAGTGCTGTTTGTGTTCTCTCGGCAAGTGGGGCAATATCGCACGTTACACTTCGTCAGGCTGCCACATCTGGTGGAACAGCGACCTACGAGGTTCTTCCTGTGTACTTGTTTTCTTCATAGATTTATATTCCATATTGCTTTTTTTATTTTGTTCAAGGACCTTGGTTATCTATATTTAAAATCTCTGTTTTTTACTCACAGCATGAAATGTTAAAGATTTCCATTTCTTTGGGCTTGGTTGGCTCGTTAAGGATAATGCCATTTGCCTATTGTTTGACGTTTCACTCTTAGATGCACTGCCAATGTATTGTATATATTCTGTGGATGCCTTCTTTCTACTTGCCATATCAGAATATTCCCGGATTTGTTTGGATTTTGTTGTTCCATAATAAATGTTTTCTATTGGTAACAATTATTTCTGTTTGTGTAGGGTCGATTTGATATTTTGTCGCTGTCTGGCTCGTTTATGCTACACGAAGTTGGTGGCCAAAGGAGTCGAACGGGTGGCTTAAGCGTCGCTTTATCCGGCCCAGATGGCCGGGTGTTGGGCGGCTCTGTGGCTGGTCTATTGGTGGCAGCATCCCCGTCACAGGTAATATTTGCTTGTTACAAATCAATGGTGTCTGTTATAGCAGTAGCATGCGTAAAGTGTCAATTACGCATTTTCACTGGCAGAATTTTGATGATTTCCTAAAATTTCTGCCCAAGACGTAGTAATTTAGTTTTTTCAATGTAAATCACTAGTTCACTACACTCATTAAACAGATCCCAGCTTTTCTTTGCAAATAGTAGGAAATTTTAATCCTGAACTATTTTTAACTTATGCAATTTTCGACTATTACATCCCCCAACCATATCTTGTTGCATTTGTATAGGCATTCAAATTTAATTTGCCTCCTTAAACTGTAATCCGTGACGAATGCCAGTGCATCTCTCTTTCTTTCTATTCTCTGTGAGATAATGATGATATCAATTGCCTTAGTCCAGGACTCCAGGCGTACATGTTACAAACGTTGAAAGGTTTTGTCCGTATTTGGTAGTGATTTTTATTTGCTTATTAATTTTTTGTTTTATTGTTTTCACCCCTTATTGCAGGTTGTAGTAGGATGCTTTGAGCCAGATGGTCAGAAAGAATCTGGACAAAATCACACGATGCAACCAATGGTTAACCATGGTGGTGCTGTGGGTCCCAACAGCTCACCTTCAAGAGGGAGTCCGAGTGAGTCCTCTGGTGGGCCCGCCAGCCCTCTAAATATGAGCTCGGGTGCATGCATCGACCTCCCAGATGGCATGCCGTGGAAATGAAATAATGCCCTCATAGTTAGGACCCTGTAACATTTGTACTTTCTGTAATATGGGGAGCTTTTTTTTTTTCAGAATAAATCAGCCTCACTTCTTGAGTCGAGTCTTATGGGATATTCTTTAATAGTTAACTGAGTTTACTTTGCTTTGTATTGCTGCGACTGTAGTCTTGCAGGTAATAGTGATTAGTTATTGTTAGAAAATCAGTAAACTAAAATTGGGTTTGGCTAGATTTTGACTGATTTTTTATAGCTAAATATTTAATTTGTGTTAAATTAAATTGTGTAAAAAAATAATACATCTTGAGTACTCGTGATATATTTATTTTCTAAATATTGATTTTTGGTGAGTAAGAATAAATGATTAATTAAACCGTGATATATTTATTTTCTAAATATTGATTTTTGGTGAGTAAGAATAAATGATTAATTAAACCATGATGAGCATGTAAAATGTTGTGGAATTCAAAAAGTTAAAAGTCATATTCCATGTTGAACTCTTAGGGGTTGTATTCTTTTTAAATTCTTAAAGATTTGTTGGGAATTTAAGAATTTTGATATATTGAATTTCAATTTTTTAACACTTTTAAAAATCCTGAAGAACTCATTTGAGATTTAAAAAAATCTTAACAAATTACGAGTTATTTATTTTATTTGATATTAAGATTTACTAAGATTTTTGAAGATTTGCTTAGATTTCATAAACAAAAACCCTTATGCGAAATCCCACCCAAAATCTCACCTCAAGACTTATAAGATTTTCAATGATTCCCCTTAAATTTCAAAAATCTCAAAAAGTCTTAATGTCTCTTAAAATCTTAAATGAATACACGTCCCTTAAATGAGGATAACTCTTTATTGTTATAATGAGAGGTTAAGAGGTTGCACAGTAAAATTATGTTAGAAATTGGGTATAAAACTACACGGGAATCTTACTAACTGAAATGTAATTTTTCAATTCTTACAAATAATGTAAAAATAGAAAATTACAATCGAACTGAAAAATAAATTACAATCGAAAATAAATTACAACTGGAAAACAAAAAACAAAAAAAAATTACAGAAAGATTTTAGCCGAGACGAGTAAAACTCTTTCCGCAAGAAGAATACGCCCCGTGTGGCAGCTAACGGTTCAGGCGTAACTTCCTCAAAGATACAACGGCAAACGTCTCTAAATCTGTAGCACACCAGATTTACGAGCTCCGGCGAACTGAAATGGAGTCGAGAATTGAACACTAAAATAATAGGAATAAAAATATAAATATTATTTTATTTTCTCTATTTTCCTCTCAGGAATCCTTTCTATATCTCTCGCACTTTTCTCTGCTCTGATCTATTCTTGATCATCAATTGAACATCAATATATAGAAAGATTACCCTCAAGTGTGATAGAACATTTAATAGCATATTTGTCAGTAATAATAGCTCTGACATTTTTCTGACATTTTGCAAGTTTGCCAGACATAAGTTATCTCCACCCATACTATTATAAATGAATGGGACGCACATATTTATTGCACTCAATTATACAACAATCCCCTACATGAGTGTAAATAAATATAATATACTATGTGCTCAATCCTTACAAAACTCTATTGCATCAGAAAAGGTAGCTTTTGGCTTTGAACCTTTCTTTGTAAACATCATTGGATGCACTGGCGGACTAGTGGACATGATGTCTTGACCTATTCCTCCGTAGTGTACACCGAGTCAATGACATTTACACAATAGAGTCTTAACTCCATTCCGTTCTATCGTTGTGTCCGTTTTGGCCATGGACAACATAATGGATTCATAAGTGTTTACATTTGAAGCGGCCCACACTTCACACTTACATAGGTGACCTCCCTATCAAGAGTATCCTGCCATACTCCACCTTTACAAGGTTAGGGATTCATTAAAAGTTCACATGACTTACCCTCACCACAATCAACAGGTCTATTTGCACTTGGAGTGCTCTAGGGAATAGTTATGGACATTCATATGTTCCAAGTGCTCAACTGAATTTTCATAGCTTAGTTTTCCCTTTGAACCAAGTTCGTGGGATCTCCACTCAGCATGGTAGGGTTACCACTATGATCATTCTTTACATTGTGGATTTTTAAGCCCATTCCCTCTAGCAAAACTACCTATTGATCTCTATTCAATCCTTTCGTCAAAGGATCAACCAAATTTTCCTTAGACTTTACATAGTCAATGGAAATAACACCATTTGAGATCAATTGGCGTACGGTATTATGTCTACGACGAATATGTATAGACTTACCGTTATACAAGTTGCTTTGCGCCCTACCTATAGCAGCTTGGCTATCACAGTGAATCATCACAGGCGGCAGTGTCTTATCCCAACATGGAATATCGGATTAAAAATTTCTAAGCCACTCGGCTTCTTCACCAGCTTTATCTAAAGCGATGAACTCCGATTTCATCGTTGAACGAGCTATATACGTTTGTTTTGTGGATTTCCACGAAACAGCTCCTCCTCCAATACAGAAAACATATCCGCTAGTGGAGTGAGAATCCCTCGATTCTGATAACCAGCTTGCATCACAGTACCCTTCAAGTACAGCTGGATATCTCGAGTATTTTAGCCCGTATTCAAGGATGTACCTCAAGTACTTAAGTACCCTTCTCAAAGCATTCCAGTGCTCATGACTGGGATTGCTCGTAAATCTGCTCAACTTACTCACCAGATAGGCCAAGTCTGGTCGTGTACAATTCGTCAAGTACATCAGACTCCCTATTATCCGTGAATAGTCCAACTGAGCCACTGGTTGACCTTTATTGGCTACCAGATTTATACTAAGATCAAGGGGTGTCTTATACATATGCCTAGACTGTGCACCGTTATAGGCATCAAATTTCTTGAGCACTTTCTCTACATAATGAGATTGTGACAAGACAATTCCATCATGGGTTCTGATAATTCTTATTCCAAGAATAACATCAGCCAAACCCATATCTTTCATGTCGAAATTTCTTTTTAACATTCCTTTCGTATCCATGATCACTTCATGGCTACTCCCCATGATCAACATATCGTCTACATATAGACATACAATCACAAATGTATTTGACGTACTCTTGACATAAACACATTTGTCACATTCCTTGATTTTGAAACCATTTGACAACATCACGTCATCAAATTTCAAATGCCATTGTTTCGGAGCTTGTTTCAGTCTGTACAATGATTTGATCAATCTACACACCTTTCTCTCTTGTCCAGCTGCAACAAACCCTTCAGGTTGTTCCATGTATATTTCTTCTTCCAACTCACCATTCAAAAATGCCGTCTTGACATCCATTTGGTGAATCTCAAGATTGTGCAATGCAGCAATCAAGAGAAGCACTCTTATCGACGCTAAACGCGTAACTGGTGAATAGGTATCAAAGAAATCATACCCTTCTTTTTGTTTAAAGCCTTTGACCACCAATCGTAAACTTATCAATCGATCCATCAGCTTTATATTTCTTCTTTAAGATCCACTTGCATCCTAAAGGTTTACAACCATTAGGGAGATCAACCAACTCCCAAGTATGGTTTTGCATAATGGACTCGATTTCACTATTTACAGCTTCTTCCCAGAGTGGTCCATCTGGGGTGGACAGAGCTTCCTTAATGGAACTCGGTTCATTGTCCAACATGTACGTAATAAAATCAGATCCAAATGTTTTCGTTGTTTTTACCCTTTTACTACGTCTCGGTTCATCATCAGTACCCTTTGGTACAGAACCACTAGCAGTTTCATACGTTCTTTTATTAGAACTAGATTCTGCCCTTTCCTTCATAGGAAAAACATTCTCAAAGAACATAGCATTCCTTGACTCAATCGTGATACCAACAGATACCTCTGAATTTTCTGATTTATGAACCAGAAATCTATATGCTATACTATTGTATGCATATCCAATAAATACACAATCGACCGTCTTTGGTCCGATTCTCATCTGTTTGGGTTCCGGTACTGAAACCTTAGCCAAACACCCCCACACTTTTAGGTACTTATAAGACGGCTTACGATTTTTCCACATTTCGTAAGGAGTCTTATCTTTCCCTTTAGGTGGTATTTTATTCAGGATATGATTTGCTGCTAAAACAGCTTCCCCCACATGTTTTGGGGTAATCCTGAATTTATCAACATGGCATTCATCATTTCTTTTAAAGTAAGGTTTTTGCGTTCAGCAACACCGTTCGACTGTGGAGAATAAGGGGCCGTCGTTTGATGAATTATGCCATATTCAGAACATATTTGTTCAAAAGGAGCTACATACTCTCCACCCCTATCACTTCGGATTATTTTAATCCTCTTGCCGAGTTGGTTTTCAACTTCGGTCTTATAGATTTTAAAATCTTCCACAGCCTTGTCCTTGCTTCTTAACAAATATAAGTAGCAAAATCTTGTGCAATCATCGATAAAAGCTTCCACAGCCTTCGCCCCGGCATCCTCAGTCTTGTACTTCTTCTCCAAAGCAGCCCAAAGCTCTTTGCCAGAACCAACTGAGCTGTACACATTATACAACTCGTCACTAAGTCCGTTCAGGACATAGTTACAGCAAAGGTAATCACCTTGCATCCAAGCATCGTATGCATTGCGTAGTTCAGCATTGGTTTCATTTTCATCAATGACCGGAGGATCATCCTTCAGGTACTTTTCCAAACCCAAGGTGGTTTGGTAAAAGCGCATCTTCTGTTGCCATGTTTTGAAATCAAGCCCGTTGAATTTTTCGGGCTTCTCAGCAGTGGGGACATGGACAGCTCGTACTGGATTATTAACAACTGGGTTGACCGGATGCTGATGTTGAAAACCTTCTCCGGTGGACGCCATCAGTTCAGTAGGATGACAAATATTCTTCTTGCGATTGTTAGAAATTGGGTATAAAATTACACGGGAATCCTACTAACTGAAATGTAATTTTTCAGTTCTTACAAATAATTTAAAAATAGAAAATTACAATCGAACTGAAAAATAAATTACAATAAAAAATAAATTACAATTGGGAAAAAAAAACAAAAAAAAATTACAGAAAGATTTTAGCCGAGGTGAGTAAAACTCTTTCCGCAAGAAGAATACGCCCCATGTGGCAGCTGACGGTTCAGGCGTAACTTCCCCAAAGATACAACGGCAAACGTCTCTGAATCTGTAGCACACCAGATTTACGAGCTCCGGCGAACTGAAATGAAGTCGAGAATTGAGCACTAAAATAATAGGATTAAAAATGTAAATATTATTTTTATTTTCTCTATTTTCCTCTCAGGAATCCTTTCTATATCTCTCGCACTTTTCTCTGCTCTGATCTATTCTTGATCATCAATTGAACATCAATATATAGAAAGATTACCCTCAAGTGTGATAGAGCATTTAATAGCATATTTGTCAGTAATAATAGCTCTGACATTTTTCTAACATTTTGCAGGTTTGCCAGACATAAGTAATCTCCACCCATACTATTATAAATGAATGGGACCCACATATTTATTACACTCAATTATACAACAAATTATGCATCAAGTGTTGGTGTTTGATTCGGCCACACGCACATGTGCTCGCCAGCTCGACTTGGGATCGGGCATGGGCACGGGTCTGATTAGCCTCAGGCCGCGAAGATTGTTCTGATTAAATAAAAGGAAACATGAGTTGATAGGTCGATTAGACAAATTGTGAGCTCAGTAAGCGTGACCAAAGATAATTGAAGTTACTCTTATATCGAATTATCCTAACTCGACCGGACTGGGGGATCAAATTTGAATAATACGGATGATAATATACATAAAGAAATTCATGAACTGTCAATAGAAATGACTCATAAAGAATATATATTCATAAAATCCGAGTATAAACCTTTTTTGTTCATGTTTATTGTGATAGTTATTTTAATGTTGACATTCTCCATCGATAAAAGTATCTTGAACTATTTGACTTTGACTTAATTATGTGAAACATGATGCACGGACTATGTTGACAAAAGAACTAAAAGTTTTTTTTGCATACTGAACCAGTTTGGCACAATGTGAGGCTGACACGTGAACACTTGTGAAATTATTCAACTGTCCTTTTTGTCGTGAAAAAAAATAACGTTTTAATCTCTTAACAGTTTCTCTTCGCGTCCTTCTTTGGCTCCAGTAAAATTGGAACTGGATTCCATGGGATGAAACCTCTGTGCCCTTGAAACTCCATTCTTGGTTGGAACGTCCCATTTTTAGCCAGTGGCAGTTTTCCATACACCGCCTTGGGGTCCCTCCAGGATAATGTAGTTTGGTTAATTTCGAAAAATGTGGTATAGTTAGTTGTTAGTGGGTATATTAAAATAATATTTAAAATAAAATAATTAAAGTTGATTTGATGTAAAAGTATGAGAGAGAGATTTGAAGTGATGGTTAGTTAAAATTATGTGAGTAGATGAATAGTGAATTAAGGTTGATGTGATGTGTAAAAATGATTGGTTGATATTATTTAATTATATTAATAATATTAATGATAGTTGGGTTGAGTTAAAGTTGAGTTAAAAAAAATGGGTGAATTAAAAATATTTGAATTTTTTGGATAAATTTTGTATCCAAGTGAGTTGTGAAAATATTTTGGACTGCATAGTCTCATGAGATGTCTGAAGAT